TAACCTGACCATGACGGGCTCTGTCTTATTGGTCTGATGATGCTGGGACTCTCTCTGAGCTGCACATCTGTTTCCTGGATCAAGACAAACCTGGTGACACAACAGCTCCTTCAGCAAACAAGTAGTTTCCACACAGTGTTAATCTCAATTAAAACTCTAATATTGTAAATCCTGTCCTTGTTAACTGACTGCAGTCATTGTTGCTGGATTTTTCAGCCAGTTTTTTTTTACTTTTAGCTTCAGGTGAATCCGATTCTAAATTAAATTCTCATTCCTGTTAGCTTCTGACACAAAGATATATCTAAAGGCTTAAAACTTAAGTGTTTTATATAAACTGTGATGATTCATGAGCAGTAACAAATTCAACCTGCTCAAAATTGGTTCTTTAAATCAGTTTTAAAWTTGTTTRATGACCCGGGCATCTCAGTTATYTGTCCAAACAGTCTCAAAGCCTCTCCTGTGCACTGAGTCACCACGGTGCACTGAAAAACTTTACCCCAAAAGCTAAAGTTCAAKTGAGGGAAGAAATGAAGCCATCACTGCAGAAGAGTGTGACTGAAGAACCCAAAGGGTCAACGCTTTGTTAAAATGAATTCAATGTGAGGTAATATCAGCCTCCCGTAATAAAGAAAGCTTTCTGTGCAACATTTGTGTTGGGGACAATTGGCACACATTACATAGGAGAGGTTGTGATRACCAAATGTCAAAGGTTTTACTGGTGAGTACAGGTGAGGAGTTTAGCTTTACATTGAAAACCTAAGTTTTGTACTATAATGTGTGTCTTATGTCCCAAAAAAGGCTTCTAAAGAGCTCGACACACGGGAGGCGACGTCGCTCGCTCTCCATTCATTTCCTYTGGAGCCTGTGCGGTGAGGCGACAATCGCTTGCCCTCCTCCAGCTAAGAGACCGGCGAAAATAGTGCATGTGAAATTTCACACTCGTACACGTAGACGTGCACACGCGAGCTTGCGACGCGACATATGAAAGTTGAAAAATGTTCAACTTTTGTRGCTGTCGCTTAGCGTACAACCAATCAGCGAGGGTTTCATTGACTGACCAATGAGAGGAGAGTATGCTACACACTGCAGTTAGCTAACACTTTCACCAAGTGATTACTAAAAAGCTTTGTGGGAATTTATTGGCACCAGGGTGGAGTTTATGGTAAGTTTTTCCTCATAAAACTGTATCTTGATGTGTTTGTTTTTCAATATCATTAGCATCGCAAGATTTGTTTAGTTTACACGTCCGTAATGCACACCCGCCTTCAGAGTCAAGAACCAATCAAATTTTGTGAAGACAAGCGACCTGTGAGTGCGATTCGCAACGCTGCGATCGCTGTCGCGTCCCGTGTGTCGCCCCATGTCGCCCCGTGTGTCGCTCCATGGTCGCTTGTCTTCACAAAATTTGATTGGTTCTTGACTCTGAAGGCAGGTGTGCATTACGGACGTGTAAACTAAACAAATCTTGTGATGCTAATGTTGAAAAACAAACACACATCAAGATACAGTTTTATGAGGAAAAACTTACCATAAACGTCACCCTGGTGCCAATAAATTCCCACAAAGCTTTTTAGTAATCACTTGGTGAAAGTGTTAGCTAACTGCAGTGTGTAGCATACTCTCCTCTCATTGGTCAGTCAATGAAACCCTCGCTGATTGGTTGTACGCTAAGCGACAGCGACAAAAGTTGAACATTTTTCAACTTTCATATGTCGTGTCGCAAGCTCGCGTGTGCACGTCTACGTGTACGAGTGTGAAATTTCACATGCACTATTTTCACCGGTCGCTTAGCTGGAGGAGGGCAAGCGATTGTCGCCTCACTGCACAGGCTCCACAGGAAATGAACGGAGAGCGAGCGACGTCGCCTCCTGTGTGTCGAGCTCTTAAGACATTGGGCAGACATTAAAACAGGGTGGAGGGGTTTAAGTATCTGGGTGTCTTGTTCACAAGTGATGGTAGGATGGAGCGGGAGATGGATCGACYGATTGGGGCCTCGTCCTCAGTAATGAGGGCGTTACTTCAGTCAGTCATGGTGAAGAAAGAGCTGAGTCTAAAGGAAAAGCTCTGGATTTACTGGTCTGTCTTTGTTCCAACCATCACCCATCGTCAGGAGGCGTGGATCATGACCCAAAGAACAAGATCCTGGATACAAGCGGCCAACATGAGCTTCCTGTGTAGRGTGGCCAGGCTCAGCCTTAGAGATGGGGTGAGGAGCTTCATCATCCGGGGGGAGCTCGGAGTAGAGCCGCTGCTCCTCCACATCGAAAGGAGTCAGTTGAGGTGGTTCGAAATCCGATTAGGATGCCTCCCTTTAGAGGTGTTCCGGGCACGTTCCACTGCTTCAGCTGGARTTTTACCCAGTTTGTTCTTTTTAGAAATGTTTTTGAGACTAAAGACAACCGAGTTTTCTGAAGTCCAGATGAAGACGAGCTCGGTTCTGAACCGTGAGTCCAGTTTGAAGTTCTGGAGGTTTTGAGACCGGCTCCTGTTTTGGATTAAACTCTTCTTGTGTTTGGAGCTCAGAGGGTCATGGGACTCTCAGAAGGATTAAACTGAACTGGAGTCATGAGACCTGGTCCAACAAAGAGTCCTGAGGCCTCACATGCGTGTCACATGAACCCACTCAGCTGCATAAAGACAAGTCCTTCCTGCTCTGCTCGGCTGCAGTCAGAACTTACAGAACTGCTGGGATCTCCAGGAGTCCAGACTGAGAAGAGATGAAGTGTGGTTCAGGATGAACCATCTGGAGCTTTCTGTGGAGACCAGGGCCCCAAATATTCTTCATRTGATCTGATCTGGACTCGTCTCAGTGGTTTGTTGGTCTGAAAGTCACTAAAAAACTGAGATAACTGGTGAAGCTCCTGCCTCCATCAGATTCCTTCAGTCCAGCAGGACTTCTGGGACTTGAAACAGGAAAACATGCAGATGTTTTGACAGCACCGCTGTGGTTCTTGTCTTGGTTAGTTGGTGTTTTATGTTTCTTTTTGTGTAAAACTTTCTTTCTGTTTTGTTGTTGGATATTCTTATTTATTTACACATTTCATTTTCTTATTTAGCTTTGTAGAAAATAAATCATCTTTAAAACACTTCAAAATGTTTATAAGTCTACTGCACAAAAGTCTTATTTTGCTTATTTTCTATTTTTAGACTTTTTCTGCTGTTTCAGCGATCTTTCTGATTCTTTCTGCCGTTCTTCTGTCAGTTTCAACTTTATCTGCTTTATTTCTGCTACGCTAATTTAAGCTGTTCTACGGAGCCCGCGAGGTGACATGGGAGATGTTTTTTCTTTTTGCGTTCCCACGCAGATTATTGCGTTACCTCACAATACTTTTTGCATTCACTCGCAAAAGTCGTTTATCACAGTTGTGCTGCCGGTTTATTAACAAACTCACATGTTCACCATTAGTGAGTTAGCCTACTGCTTTAATTCAGCTTCACAATGAATATTTCACACAGACACACATGTCACATGTCGATATTTTAACACAGTGCAGCTACGCAACGTCAATGTCAATTTCATGAACTTGTGGCGACACATCCTGTCTTGGTAACCGGATATTTCAAAATAAAGTCTGATTTAAGTCAGTTCATATACAAATCAAACTTTTGCGTAGGGACACAAAAGTATTGCGAAGTAACGCAAAAATATTGCGAGGTAACGCAAAAGAAAAAAATCCCCCCATGTCTCCTTGCGGGCTCCGTAGTTTTTGCCTTTGATGCTACTTTAAAAATGTTTTTTCAGCTTGTTTCAGTTATTTTAGGCATTTTATCACAAATCACAACTTATTGTATTTATTTTCTCTTTTTTTCTGCTGATGTGAAATATTTTTATTAATCTTTTTACCAACTATCTGCTAAATCCAACTTGTTTGTGCTATTTTCTGTGGGTGGAGCAACAAACTGACAATTATGACAGAAA